AAAACTTTAATACCAATTACTTGGAATCTTATTTATTATTTACTAGAATTCATTTATTCACACTTAGGATTCGAGGAATATTATACAGAATCCTTTCACCTTTATTCCTCTCACTAATGATCTCGCTGAGAGGTTTTAAATTATGTTCCTTATAACAATCTGAAGTCGACGTATACAACATTCAGAACGGGAACGTCTCCGTAATGAATAAAATAACGTGTCAAGATACAGTCTTCATCTTAAATTAATGAGAATTCACGTATTCAATTTTACACGTGACGTAAGGAAATAAACTTCGACAAAGTTTAGCATACAGGATTCTAATTAATAGACCTAAAAGTTTTCGATTAGGAATTCTTAAATAAATCACGAATGCGAAAGGATTCCTTTTATCAGTTAGATTAAAGTTCGAATGAGAGATGAAAACAAATTCATGTGTCCTTTAATTTATTGAAATGTTTCAGATTTTGAAAGTTTCTTAGTTTGGTGTAATTTGTCTTAGATGTTCAGAGTTTAGATTTGTTTAATTAAATACGTCTTATGTTATATATAAACATTTTGTGATATACATATTTTTATTTTAAAATTGACAATCTACAGAACTCAACAGCAATATACATGAATATATAAAACGTGTAATTATACTTCGTTCTTCTAGTCTTAAATCTTTCAAAATAGTCTTCTCAAGTTAACCACAAATAGCGAAACCACACTTGGATATCACCATACATAAACATGACGATTTTACTATTAAATTAAAAATGTATTAAGTCAATTACAATTCAAAAAATTGCCGTTGAGGTCCCGGTAGCGAAAGCGACCTTGGAGCTTCTGTAACGCAGCTTTGTAGGAACTACTCGAGGTGGCTTTAGTGGGTATTGCTCACCCAGTCTCTGAATAGCAGAGATTCTGGTGTGTGTCGAGTCCCACATACTCCTGCAACTTTAGGGGGCAGGGGATGCGCAAATGCATTTTCACCTCGGATATCAAAAACAAAAGAATTCAAAAAATATTGTTGGAATAATTTCGTCTTTTAGTCTTAAAAGTCGTCTTTTAATTTAGTATTTTAATCATGAGAAAGAGAGCGATACTTTTTTAAAATCTAACATGGTAAATTATATCTTTGAAGTGTGCAATTTTACATAAGGGTAAATAACACAAGAAAATAACTCCGATAGGCTTGATAAGTTTCACGAACTCCAACATATTTGCGTGTATCGGCTCCCGCGACCAACACAAATAGATTCGTATGTTTGTCTTGGCTCGGTTTAATTAATTTTACCTTCATACACCGATACCTACTGTTTGTCGGTCGTTCCTTAATTGAAAACGCTCTTACTGGAGTAAATGAAATCCTATTTGCTGCGAGTGATTGAAGCGAATTTATCTTTTAAGACTTTCAAATTTATCTTTTGCCACAAATAATTTTCAGCACGAAGAGTCAGGTAATTAAATTTTGATTGCTTTCGGGCTGATTGTTTCGATTTATTAATATTCCGTCCGGCTGTAAATAATATGCCGTCCGCTAATGGCTATTGCAATAATTACTCATTAAGTATTAAAGAGGAGTATTAAACGGAAACAGCTGCATTGGTGTTCTCGGCCGTGGGGTGACTATGAGCGAATCGACATGTATGAACTTACGTACAATATACATCCTAAATTCGAGGTTTTATGGAGCTTACCATAACCAAAAATATCCGGAATTATAATTGAAAAACTTAAAGGGACCAAGCTAAATTAGAATAACTGAAACTTAAAATAAAAAAAAAACATTTACAAAGTATAAAAAAATTACAAGAGATAACACCGTTTTAACCGTAACTATTTTAATTACTCATTGTCAATTCATACACAAAACAAAAACATTCGACGATCGCTCTTAACCAAAAAAAAAATGTCACCTCGTATAAAATAATATTACAAAACCTGTTTAACACAATTCATGCGCCTTTTAATTACTATGGTAATAACCAAATAAATTGAAATCATTTACAATAACTCTGCAACACGATCAGTTTAATTTGACAATACAATTAAAATTCAATCTTTGCGAGTAATTAGACTGTCTGTTTGATTCAAACATTAATTGTACATGGATTTTAATTAAATAATAATTTTATCCTACATTATAATCAATTCACGCTCACGCATCACGCTAGACGAGAAGTTACAATGGGGACCTCATATCACATCTCTTGCGGGGCGGCTGAGCTCAGCCGTTTATGCGGTTAGAAAGATAAGATATTTAACCAATGTAGAAACTGCGCGTTTGGTCTATTTTAGCTACTTTCACAGCATAATGTCTTACGGCATTTTACTGTGGGGTCGGGCTGCTGACATAGAATCCATTTTTATTTTGCAAAAGAGAGCGGTCAGAGCCATTTATAATCTACGTCGTTGCGAATCTCTCAGGGAACTATTTAAAAAGATTAATATTATGACAGTACCTTGCCAATTCATTTATGAAAATATTATGTATGTAAGAAAGAATCTACATCTTTTTAGTAAAATAAATGAAAGACATAATTTTAGTACTAGAAATAAAGATAAAATAGCTCAACCATCTTTCAGATTAGCCAAAGTTCAAAATTCATTTATGGGGTACTGTGTGAAATGTTACAATAAAATACCTTGTGACATTTTAAAACTAAATGAACGAAAATTTAAATGTTTTATTAAAAGTACACTTTGTAAACAAGCATATTACAAATTAGATGATTATATTCAAGATAAGAATGCTTGGAAACATGCTGGTCCTGCTCCATAGGACAATCCTATGATTGGCTCTATAGCCTGGACAAAATCAAATTGGTTGCTGAATTTTTGCTAAAAAAAAAATATGTTAATTTTTGTTATTATTATTTTATTTTTTTTAATTTATATAATGCTACAAATGTAATTATTTTTTTTTGTATCTCACACACTGTTTTGTTGTGTTTTTTTAATATTTTTATTACTCTTTAATGTTAATATTCTAAGGTTTCGATATTTGTAAATATGTGAGGAACATGTATACTAACTTTTTTAGTATAGTTGTTTATTCTAAGAGTACATTGTCTTCACATATAATTATTTAACAAATGTAACAAAATATTGTAAACCTATTTTAAAAGAGTAAGTGTGGAGTTTCTTGCCCATTCTTCTCCACACGAAACTACCTTTTGGAAGGGGCAACTAGAATCATCTTTATATTTTTTTTTTTTTTTGACGTTCAAAAGTGCCATTTTAGATGGTCTAATTGAAATAAACGATTTGACTTTGACTTTGAATTAAATATTAATTATTTTATAGTTGAGTTCGCAACTTAAAGCTGTTGAGAGAGATGTGAAGAACAATACAACTAAATAAAAGCAGCTATATCTGGAATACTTAAGTATCATGATACTTATAAAAATATCTACTATTCGATATAAGACTAAAACGTTAAGCGAGTTAAGTTCGGTGGCGGTCGTTGTATAGATATGTTCAAATATATGTTAAATGAAACACTTTGTTTAAAGCTTGGTAACAACTGGCTTTAATTGGTAAAAAACATGAGCTAATAACTAAGATAACATTATATTAGGGGTAGTGGGGTTGCGACGCTGGATTAACAAAAAACTAACTTGATTTATTGAAGAGTTCGTAAATCTTAATGACACTTATGTTATTGTACATTATCGGAAACGAGAATGTTAAATTACAATTTATGAGTATGGTAAAAACTAAAGGGCTCATTTTGGCTTCAGTGTTCGACGATTGTTTAAATTTTGTTTACGCTGCTACTTATTTACTTAAATATATATATTTAACTGCTTAACTAATGTTAGGTTATATAACTGGCGCTTAAATACAATTTGTCTTGTATACAGAATAGAGATGTTAGGTACTTCAATGAAATTTTTGTAGACGAAAAAATCGTCGTTCAACTCAAACTCATTGCTAATTAAACAAATATTTAACAGCCCATGTATTACATGATGTGATTTATAACGTTGTACTTGTCATTATATTATTTTATGAACAATTTATCAAAGTTTAACGGGCAATAATCGTGAGCTTGTTACCCGTTACCGCTATCTTAACATCAAGCATTAAATTTAGCATTCTCAAGTGAACCGATAAATTGAAAGCTTTCCTTCCATATTTCTCTAATGCGAAAGCTTTGACCGATCCAGTTCTATTTTCCTCATATATTAGAATTTACAAATCAAAAGACCTTGGAAACTATTAATCTGACCCTTTAACAAAAAATCCAATAAATCTTGCAAACTTTCTTCAAATTGTAACAATAGAGAATTCTTTTATTTATTAATAAATAACTGGTATTATAGAATTGTTTTTCACGAATAAAGTGTCAGGGAGGACTTTGGGTACTGTAAAATTTTATTCAGATTAATAGAATATAGGAATATCGAAGTTTTAACTTATTATGTCCACTCTTATTGAAGTCGAAGTTCATCTCCATAGATTGCCATTTACATGTTTTGGCTAAGAAATTAAGACCATATAAACTCTGTATTTTTTGAGCTGTGTTAGGGGTGTAAATCCTAACTTTTTTTTAAGAAAACCACAGTGTGTCAGGTAAAGCTCATAATTGCCTTAGCTGACGTTTTTAACATACTTTGAGCTTATTCTCGTCTGTGAATATAAGACATTGTATGTGTAATTACTTTAAAGGTTTATTGATATGAGGCGTTTATTATTAGTATCTTAACGTATTTATCGTTCACTTAAATGTCAATTAAAGCAAAGGCGTGACCTATTGGCTATAAATTCGTGATCGTGTTCTAATAACATATTCAATAGAATAAGGACATCAGATCTTTTGAATGGCATCATCGGAAAACACAACAATCAATATAAATGTTCATATATGACAATATTTTATATTTAATTTCAATAAAACTAAAGACCTTTTATGAAACTGTACAATATGTAGGTAATACTTTTGAATTGTAAAAAATAGACTAAATTATGTTTTTAAAATAATTACATTTTACTTTTGAACTTTCAGAATGTTTGGTTCCGGCGGCGCGTGCGCAGCATGCGGGCAGGCGATACCCGCAAGCGAATTCGTGATGCGGACGAGCGCACCCCAGCAACCTCTACACGTCTTCCACATAAAATGCTTCGCATGTTCTAAATGTGGCTCACACCTCATGCAGGGCGATAGGTATGTATTCTGTCATCTTTCTTCTAGAAGTCATTATTTGTAATATTTTCTACGTCGGTGGTGTAACCCAACCGAAAGAAAGAATACTTCACTGTTCAACAAAGATCAGTCGACGTATGCTTGGAGCTCTTAGGTACATGTACATCTCTTAGGTCTGAGAGACGTCAAGAGAAGACAATTCAACCAAACCACCCAAAACAACTATTGTTTCGCAAAGATTCGAACAGATGACCACGGATTATACGCCAACAGTAGAGCCATAACTAACATCTAATAATAAATCTACATCAATTTAATTTACGCCTAATCCAGGTACTACATGCTGGCGGGTTCCCTAGTGTGTGAGCAGGACTGGCAGAAGCTAATGAAAAGCGCGAATGCGGCAGCGCCAGGGGCGCCTGTCCGCAAGGGCAAGGTGGGTCGCCCGCGGCGGTCGCGGGAATGAGCGCCGCCTGCCCCCGCGCAACACTCGCACAGAGATTTTGAACAGGTACGTTTTACTACTGAAAACCAAAATAATGTCTGATTTTTTTTTAAACCTGCCTTAACTTTGATAAACATGAACTCTACGGAGATTATAGGTGGGAAAAGAATATTGATCGCTAGATGGCGCTATGTTGTATCTGTCTTAAGTATTTAATTGTTATCAGTTAAAATATAAGTATATTGGTGCTCGATATTGGCATTGTAAATAAGGAAATATACACAATGGAATTGCTTTAACATGATAATTATTTTATAAATAGCCATTAATAAATTTTCTGTTATCGGTTGTCTTTGTTATAAATCTTATACCTTTCACTGGGCACTTTCTATTTGAAAACAAGAAATATCTCTTAATAATTCACACTTATACAGGTGAACATTTTTGATAGGCCACATTATTAAGCTTTATTTTACTAATAATAATAAATAATTTCCCACTCAAATACATAAAGAATTCTTATTTTTTATCATGATAGTGAGACACGACCACGTACTCTCTACGGAGACTCGTAAATAGTATTTGAATTACAAACGTAAAAACGACTCAACAATGACGTACACAGAATATCAAACTTACAAAAACATACTAAAATGTTACTGCATTAATTTGACACTGTTATGATGTTCATTACCATAGAGATTAAATATCCACACAACGAATTAGTCGAAAGTCCTCATCCAAGTAAAAAAAATGCAATTTTTATAGGCTATGACAGATGAATCTTCTTACCCATTAATTTTTATTTGTTAGATTCTTTCCTATAAATTGGAAATATGTAGAGTATATGTATCTATAATGGATAGAGTATGAAAGTGTATGTTTTCACACATGTACACTTTAATAATACATTTAAACGTAAAAACAATACAATTTCCCCAAGAGATTAAAAGCCTATATAAATTTAAACCTTAACGGCCAATTTGCCGTTTACTATCTACATCATATTGAAATAGGCCAATTGGTACTATTGTTATTAGTAATTATAACAATACCAAAGCTCAGTTACGTAGATTACACGTAACGGAGACTGTGATTAATTGTCTGTATTGATTAGCCGGTGATGATAACGCGGCGAATTAAACTGTAGGATTGTACATTTATTGAATATTTAATTTCACAGAATATGTCGCAGTTGTGTCGTATTTTTCTTAGCTTACAAAAATAGTACGTTAAACTTTTAATCTTTTTATTTATTTTTTTGTGACTAGGTTTTTTTATTATTCAAGTCTACTTATCATACACGATGGGTTAGCTTATAGATTTTTACTTATGTTTGAAGTAACTCTTGATATCTGACCAAAAAATATTTTACGAAATCATAATTAAAATATCGTAGGACAAGTGTATGTACTTAGGGTATGATTGAGTCTTAGCGCTACTCAAAAACGTAATGGATTTGACGTAAGGGAGTGATACTATGTGCCTAGGTTCGATCTTAATTAACTACTGAGCGACGTCTTAAGTGCATGTAAGTGAATGCTTATAAAAATTGTGTACGTACGGCACTGGCTTGAATGTGTCGTAGTGTAATCTGTAACATCTTTTTATTATTTTAAACTTATTATTTCATATTTTATTATTTTACATTAAAATTACAATATATATATATAATCTATTTTTAACCACAATCAATGAAAAAAATTTTTAGACGCTATGTTTTCCATTACACCATTTATACACAAGTAAAATACATCTAATTATAAAGCTTAATTAATGTACACGACAATTAAAACCTTTGAGTACATCTCAACTAATGATCGCGTGAAATGTAGGAACACGGTCTGACCTTTAATTAATTAGCGCTTAAGTCGTGACTGAAAGTTTGCTTCAAGAAATAATTAATATTGATAGTCTGTTACGCTAGATCACATTAATTAGTGTGACATTCTGATATATCTGCCTATATTTTGAGTGCCAATTAGCTTTAAATATTATAATTGATTTGATGTTTTCGTAAACAAACTCGGATTATTTAAACGCGTGAATGCAGGATAACAGTTTAAAATAATTGTTTTGATAGATTATTATTTTATTTCGTAGGCAACCGCTTTTATATAAATTACATTTTAAATTTATATTAATTAACAAAGAACGGCCTACCCTAGTAAAATATAATACATGCTTATAAATATTGGTATGTCTAAGCATATATATGTTTGTGTGTGTAAGGGAGATTATGTGTGACTTTTGTAGGAGGATATGCCTTTTGTTTTAAAATAAGAAAGCTGTCTTTGCAGTAAGATAATTCTTATTTCAGTCTATCTATCTCTTGTGATGCCACGATAATTACTAAGGGCGACAGTCAAATCTCTCTGTTTAGTGCCAATGCAAACAATTATTCTACTAACTTGACTGATGTTTCGTTACCAAAACATTTTGCCTGCGGATCGCGTTTACTTGCAAATCCGTCTATCTTGATGGTCTTCGAAAGACGACACTTCTGGTTACGGAGGAAGTCGCCAATATAGACTTTCCACTGCTTGATGGTAAGGACAAGTACTATTTACGAAAGAGGTATATCAGGGACTCTTATAAAAATATATTGGTGTTGATAAATGGAATAGATTGGAGTGTCAAAGATTTGTATGACTTATGGGTTTTAATCGAAACTAATGCAAAATCGTCATACAAAAATATTAAGTACAAAAATTAAATTTAACTTCGGAAATAACATAAGTTTTGTTTTATCCATGGAGCTTCCAAAATACAGTTTATAGTACTGCACTGTACTAATTAATAATAAAAATTTCTAATTATCACAAAGAAATGGCTAAGAAATCCTATTAATCTGTTCATTGAACATCAGATCGGTCTTTGTTTACGAGTTCCTTGGAGTGGAACGAACTTAGTATTCTTATTTAATTTCAGCCTAAATATTTCATATTTATACACTTTTATTTTATTAAATACTTCGTTTCATAACAATACAGGAATTTGTTTGTTTTGTCCGCAACGGGCGGGTTTATGGCCAACAATATGTTTCTTAAACTGTCCATCAATTTATTTTTCGTGTAATGAATGTTAAAAAAATTAACAGGAAATCAAATATTGTCAGTCCTATTGTGCTACATCATAAACCTAATTTCTATCATATCAACAAACTTTAACTGTATGCGGCTAATTCCGAGAGCAGTATTTGTTTAAAATCAAATTTAAATAATCTATTAATAAAAAATATTTGAATCTGTAAAAATGCTGAATTGTCTTGGAATTTGTTCCTGTCGTTTACTCGAAGAGTGACTTTCAACGCCCACGTCCGGTTATTCTGTCGTTAATTATTTAAATTTAACACAATATTTACGGAAACATTCTTCAACCTTCTTTTTAATAAATCATCAATGAATATGTATGTTGGACTCACTCACTTCGCTGATTCTGCCACCCAAAAAGTGTCTTGGCCTGCCAATCTGGCAATCAGCTGCAGCAGGTGCTCTTCCACTCTGTCGATCCAGTGGTACCTAGGCCGATCCACTGGTCTCCGACCACTCAGATAAGGCTCCATCACTGCCCGATTTTGGCCCATGCGCATTAGGGGCCAATTTTCGACTCACAAAATATAATAACATAATAAACGTAACTTTTAAGTAAGTATTTATATTATTAATATGTTAGTTAAAAATCCCATTGTAGGTTACGGTAGTTAACAAAACGTCGTATCGAATCGCTTGATTGTGATTGGTCATCAGCGACTCAGACTAATCACATTCACAAGATATAAATCGTTTTGTTCTATAATTATACAATTATCAAACAAATATCATAATTAACAAACTTAATGAACAAAAAGACTGCTTTAAAACTTGCAAACTCGTGTATAACGCATAGGCTATTTTAACTTCTTTGTCTTCAGTTTATACGTCAACCAAATATAATCGGCTATATTCTAACATAGATAATGATATTTATTAAGGCTTTGAAGCGAATTCTAATTGGCGTACTTCTCGAGGGATAGTTCATGAGTTAATTATCTCGTAGTGGCGACCAACGTCCGAGCGCCGCAGGCGCCACCCACTCGCTTACGGCGTTTCACAAAATGCACTGTTAACCATTTCCAAAGTTTAAGTACTCTAAACTTATTTTGGAAACTAATAAAACTATTGTACAACTCTTTAATACATTTCAATTTAAACAGTGTTCTACGTTATTTATAAGTAATACAACTCACCAATTAACCTTTTTTTTTTTGTTGATAAACAATTACCAAAGTCTAAATGAAACCGTCACTAACAATGACACTTTTGTATTTATAATTTTACTATTTTATGAAAGGTTCCACAGCAAATAGGGAGTCGCGAACTATTGCTTTGTGCCGGTCAAAGCGAGTTAATTGGAAACCATGGTCATGACAGCACCTTTGCATTTGGTAAAAATGTGGGCTCAAAGACTTGACCGTTCACCAAGCTTTGTAACACGATTACTCGGACTTGTCGAAAGTTAATTAAATAACGTTTTTCCAAATTACCCCCTGGGCCCGACATCAAAGTGGTCTCACTTGCTTTGGGAATCTTTTCACAAAGGGCTAGCTCGGGGCTAGTCCTGTCTCTGATCTCGGCTGCCCAGGACAGGTGAGATCTCACGTCAAAGGCTAAGTGAGCGGGTAACAAACTCACTTTAAACAACAACGCTTGTAATTTATCGCAATCAAAGGCTCGAATTAATTGGAAGTACCTACATTTGCGTAAGACTTAAATGATATTATTTTCATGTTTAAAACGCATAGCGACCGTCTTTCTAACAAAAGTCAAAAATCATTTATTAATGTACGTAACACAATGTACACTTATGAACATCAAAAAAGGAATATTCTTTAAGTGCTTCTAATTTTACATGTACTGCCAGTTCTCAAATCAAGGGCTTAGAATGGAAGAGAAGAACTGGCAATAAACTCTCCGCCACTCTTTTTAATCGCCAAGTTTTTTGTTTTACACAACTTATAATATAACGTACTAAAATCTATAACTGTCGAAAATTCACTTGCTGAGACAGGGGATTATGTACAACTGTACCCCGTAAATCCAACCATCTTAGTAATGTTTTCACTTAATAAACTTTAAATTTCTTCATCAAAACCCAAACAGAATTGAGGACACTTTTTGTTCATTATAATAATCGCCCTTCGTGACGATCTCACGGGCGTCGAACCCGCTACCGTTGCGTGTTGCTAATGGTCTACTCTCGCCTTAATCATTTTCGTACTAATTACTCGTTTCTAGCTAAAAGTAGTTGTAAACAGATTCAATGTTTAGCGTGCCTGATCGATTACTGAGATATTTGTTCGGGTTAGTTTTAGAATTTGGTTTGTACTTCATAATTGGTGAGTACAATGCAAAGTAGAATGTGAAAAAAAACACTTCAAATTAACAACCTTCTTTAAAATAAAATGCATATGCCGATGAATATTTTACTTAGCCGATGCTACTATTGAGATAAAGAAAGAAAAAAACTTTATTATGCATAATTAAAATTATATTTAGTTAAAAAGAAACTACTGCACTAGGCCCCACACTAGGATTCCCTGTGTCGTGGGCAGGTAGCCCCTTTCTTTTGACATGTATACTACATACATACTTGACAATAATTTCTACATAACACTTACATTTTATAAATAAACTATTGTTGCACAATAAAAGTAGCGTATAATTTATAATCTCTTCGGACTGTCAATTTAGGTATTGATTTTAATACCTTTATAATTTCCCTTGACGAAGACCATTTTTGTTCTAAAATGATACGAAATTGCTAGTATTATAATCCATAAGAGTGAAAAGTATCAAAATTAAAACTTTATAAATTGCATTATGAGCAAGGTAATCCGCTTCAAACAAAGTATGTCAAGAAATTAGTATTTAATTTATTCATTGGACTCCGGTTCGTGTCTGGTTTAGTTATTACGATGCTAGTTAAAATGAGGTTTAGAAATTAATCAACTCCTGACAGTAAGGTCATATTATACTCATTATTTTATTTTCGTATCGCAACATCACTGATAATAATAAATTAGATTCTCAAGGCTAACGTCATTGGAGAACAGAGACGTTTCGCTATTTCTTGGTTCGTAAAGTATATTTTGCGTGTAAATGAAAAATACACAACTTACGAAGATTTAAACGAAAATTTGTTTATAAAATCACTTGCAAATAAAGTACCGTAAAATAAATAGTAAAGAAACTAATAACTCTTTCTTTATCAAAAAACATCAATATTTGTCTAGATTAATGCGTGAAGCGTAGCATAACGTTAGAATAGAATTAAGAACGCGTCTGTACTTAATAAGGAAACAAAAAGCAATTAATAAAGTAATAAAAGATTTAAGAATTATTCTGAACTCGGAAAGTTTAATTATCGCCAATCGTTCACATGTGGGCACAATTTACGTCTCAGCCTCTAATTTAAAATTAATACCGCAGCGCGCTGCTGGAAAATTTGAAAAGTTTGTACAACGTCGCCAGCGGGGCAGAGGCCCGATTGCATTTTTATACGAGCAAGACAACCTCTTAGCTTATTAGGGAAGCCAGCTAATAGACGTCAGATATTCCTCTGCGGGCGCGCGGTTTCCAAACGACTTCGCTCCAGTTAATTAGTTAAATGGGTACGACGTACCGGTCGCCATTCCATAATTACGACTACAATAAACCCACATTCTCTTCTTTGATATCGAGATCGAGGAAGCGATTTGAAGCTCCCAAATTGAGAGCGCGCCTCGCCGCAATCGAGCGTCCGAATGGGGCCAGTGATGCACTTATGCACCGGCACATTTCCCACAGCCTGCGCCGGATTCGCTGCACGCGACAAAGGACATCCGGCCACAATAGCTCCATTAAAATAATGCAAGTAAATGAGGATTTGCGGACTCGAGTTCCCGAATCCCTTCACAATGCCGGGAAGGCCTAACTGCAACGACGCTCGGAACACTATGCACGAACATGTTTCATTAGCTAAGTGGGAGGCTTTTGGTGGTTGAATCTGTGTAATGCACGTAGCTAGATGCAGCGCTTTTACTTAAACGCCGTAATTAAAACGTCCCCTCTTCACTAAGGGTGCAGTCCAAAACTCTGTTAAAGTTTGAGGGGCCAATCTAGCTTTAGTGTTCCGTGTATTAATTGTATCTACTTAGCGGCATTGTTGGGTCACAATGGTACTTCAGCAGGTTTATTTAGTTAAGGAGTGAATTGCTATTTCTATGAAAGCATACCTCGAGATTCTAATAACTTTATTGATCGCTAACGAAGGAAAATTGATCGACATTAACGATCTTAATCGTGGCTGGCAATCGATTCATTGCGTGTCGATGCCCGTTCTCGAGTTAATTTAATTGAAACCGAGTTGAGTAATTAATTAGTGTCGAATGAAAGCTTTCAGTCGGATGAAGGCCCCTACTACTGTTTACAACTCATACATATTGAGCGAGACGCAGCGATGTCTTCGACAAATTACACCGGTTTTTGCTAAATGGTTTTCTTATGCGATATAAAGAATGAGTATTAAATTGAATGGAACTTTATTTTATTGAACTTACGGACCAATCATTTATGTTATGTGTCCTGTTAATAAATATTAAGACATCTTGTAAATAACGGAACACAAAAGAATATTTACTTTTATTAAAAGATTCTTATTTACGTTTAAATGTTTATTTTAACTAACGACGTCCAATTATTAATTTTCAATCATAATAACACACGATGTCTATTGAATATAAAACGTAGTTTCCAGAATAAATAACGAAATAATGTATCTACAAAAGAGCAAGTGAATGCGAAATTCAAAAAACACTTGTTAGGTTATCGAATATTGCTATTAATGTTAAATACATATTCATGTCATCTTGGTACAGTATTTGATTGATTCAGTGGAGAGCATCACATCACAGATAATAGCATTTAATCCCGCTAAAACGCTACGCGAACCGTCATAATGAATATTTATTCAGAAGTCGGCGCATACTTTTATGACGAATACATATTTTAGTAGCCGACGTAATTCCGCTGATTACTTTCTTTAATTTTTCTGAAAACGTTATCTACTGGCTTCTGTGTAGATAGGTGAGTGTATTAAAGCCGGGTAAAGCAAACAGCCGAATGAAAAGTTAAGTAATACATTTTACGTTCATTAACTTAATTGTAAATACGATCGTGGCGCTTTTCTACTTTATTTCGTTTATTGATGTGGATTTAATATTTGTATCATATGAGGGTGTGCGTAAAAGGTTTAGTGGCATCTCTTTAAATCTCATATCTATCTCTCTATTTTCCTTACGAATGTTTGAAAACAAGGATGAAACACCTCAATAAAAATACATATGTATATTCATTCTATTTCCATTCGTCCAAATTGTTAACAAAGAGACAAGAGTCGTGTCCTATGCAAGAAATTAAAAAAGTTTGTATTATTAAACAAAAACCAACTTTTAACTTTAAATTATGAAAAAAGTGAATAATTAGTAGGAAGTTTGGGCTGTCACAGGAGCCATTATTCACCAGGCTTATTTATTAATTAATTAACGTAACAGCCGCTCTATGCGGTCTCTGGCCCCAACGGTCGTGTTTACATTAATTTCATCTCGTTAACACTCATATTAAACCCATTAAAATTATATAATAATTAGACTTTCATTGCCGACTAAAATTGAAATTTATGAGATGGAATTTGAAAATGGAATGTAGAAATTTTTAATGTTAGTTTTTAAATTTCGAATCTTTTATCGCATCATCGATACAACAACCCATGGAGCCATATTTAGATAACAGATTCAATAAAAAAAAATATAATAACTGATCAGATATTGTAGATGTTAAACTTTATAAAATATTATTCTATTAAAAAGCTCAGTAATTGATTAAACTTAAAACCTCTATTTCTTTGAACGAATACGCCTCTAAAACTTTATCTCGAATTACTTAATTACTTCAAACATCGCGTGTTCAAACACCGTCCTTAGTAAAATAATCGCGAAAATGTCTACACGTTTAATAAGTTCGTCGCCATACCGAGATCAATTAAGATAATTTAAAGATCGTGTTCCGCTCACAATAATTGGCAAGATAATCTCACAATTGCCGAGGTCACCCTAATTATAATAGACTATTAATTACGGCTCTAGAACATTCTTTCGTTAGCTTTATGTGTAAAGTTTTAATTGAAAGTAATAAAATAGAATTATGTATTTAATTTTACTTGATACGACTTCGTATTAATTACATTTATGATATTTGACGTTACCAATTGGTTTAGTAAACGTATTACGCAAGTTACATACACATTTATAATAACTGTGTGGGCTGCCCTGCTGTACTTTCCTCCCAGTCAATCAAATAACAGATTTTTTATATTGATATTGTTGATTGCAATAAGCAGATGTCTGTATTTAATGTGTCCCCGTCCATTAGTTATATGAAACATGTGCCAATACAAATGATATGGAGGTTTATGAATGACGGGCCGGTGGGGCGGGGGGAGAGGAGTGCGGGGGGCGCCCTGAGGACGGTAGGGCAACACTAATGGATTACATTCGAGCGAGTGAATTAGGATATTGTCGTACGATCTGTTCCAATGCACTCCTTTATAGCCCCTTCATACGTTCTAGGCCGCTGATAAATTAAATATTTACAAGACGAAATTAGATTTTAGCTCTTGTAATTTTAAGATTAATGGTTGCTACTTACCAAGGTCTGCGTATATCGCAGTGCACCGGATACCTCCGAAATAAACATCTTTTAAATTAAAGGTAAATATGATTAAGGCACATTTTTAAATTTAGAGAATATATTAAAATTGTTTTAGTCAATTTAGCATTGGGATATTATTAATATATTGCTTTCTTTTTGTATATTGGCGGTGTTTTAAACCCTTACAAGTGCTGCGTAACGTACGTGATTTAATAACTAGAAGAGATTTAATTAAAAAATTTTGTCGAGTTAATTTCTCACTTTAATTAAAGTTATAAGTACAGAAATATCACAGTTATTACACAATATCACAGTCCTTCGAACATTGTAGTGGTATAGTAATAAATTGTATTTATCCCGTAAATCCCTATTGGCTTAAGGTGCAGACATATTTTAGTATTTAATTGAATTGTTAAAAACTTTAGGGATAATGTATTCCTGGTCTACTTAAAAATTATTATTTAACTAAATCGAACCTAGCATCTCGGGATTTTACTTTAAGACGCGAACCTTAAAAAAGTACGATGAAATTATTTCCATTGATTCAATTGTCAAGGTTTTCCTTTACTTATTTTGAAATATTTTAATATTTCACATAACACAATCATTTTCTTAACGCGCAAGTATTAAAATTATACTTTAACTAGAAATAAGGTTTCACTTACAAGAGAAAGTACCGTTCTAATAAAATCGTACTTTCGACAATCCATCATTTTCTTTGAATATTTAATTTAATTTTAGATAGTTAGAAATTGTATTAATAAACTACCGCAATTTGTTTTTCGAATAGATTAAAACTGAACATTATCAACTTACTCAGAAACCCTAAATAGCTTTGTAAAATTGAAGGTTAACGCTGATAAATCATTACTTAAAATTATACGAAAAGTACACCAGGATAATAAATTAGGACTCAGACTGTATATTATTTAATTTGATAATAGTTGTATGCAATTCTCAAAACAAAGGTCGTGCGTTCTATTTTTATCCCCCTGATTACTTATAAAGAAAAATATGAACGAAATAGATGCAGAAATATTGACATCCATAGAATATTGTAGTATGTGATTATTATTAGAAAATATATGAGATTATAGACTAACTAGTATCAAAATACACTGTATCGCTAAAAATATGAGATGTAGGTAGAAGATAGGATGTGGGAACGGCGCCGTAGCAGTGGCAAGTGGAGGCTACAAGGGTTTCAACTTATCAATTACACCGTTCGCTACTTACCGCGCGGAAAGGGCAAATTGATTTAATGTTACCAGAGTGCTTTGACGAATATTATTAACGTCTTTTTACGGCCCCTCCATTGGAGACGCTTTTGTTTTGCTTACACTTATCCGTATAAGCATTAAGAATTTTATTTTCGTATACTATTTTCAGGTCGTGATGGACTTTATAATTAAGTTTTTGTATATGATATTTGTAGATTTACTTTGTTAACATTTATTCCCCATTGAATTTAAAAAGTCAGTGGTGCTACCGTTGGCCTTCGGTAGGTGATCAGTGACACAGCCTGACACTATAGATTTTTGGATCAAAGGTTTTCTCTTGTTATTTTATATAATTGTACTATCATGTCTTTAATGCGCTTAGAATCAAAATTATGCATAGCTGTGTTGCGAACTTTCGACCTCACATAATTTATTTATTCACAAAAATATTACGTATCGTATACGATATGTGTATAATATAATATATATATAACAATATCGCTACGCACATATGTTGATAATGTCTGAGACATCATTTAGTATATATAAGAATTGCTACTAGAATAACAGCACTGTACGTTTATATTAATTAAAATCAAGTAGTGAAATGCAACAATAAACGGCCGTCAATAATTGTCGGGACTAATAAATACGGATTGAAGTGATCTCATTAGAGCGCCATAACTCCTCATTAGCGGGATGCTAATTAATGCGACGTTTACGACAACTCGTTACACTCGCTCTGGAGCCTTACCTATTTTTTACGTCATTTTTCTCTTAATTAACATTTTTTATCTCACAGCCTCTTTCTTGAATTATTCATTGAGCCTTAGTATAGCATAATTCTAAACACATTTGACTGCAATACCTAGAAGGGTACTCTTAAATGGTAAAGTATCATATGGGCTCCGCATATTGAATAGTGTTCAAGTGAATGACTTCTACCGATTGAAGTATATGGTGCTTTAAAGATATTTAAAGGAAACTTATATTTAGTAAATACCAC